ACATATTCAGTTCGCCCAACAGATTTCGCCCGAAGTGCAATAACTTATACAAAGCAAAATTCGTCGGGTAAAACTCAATATGTGAATAAACACCACGCCCAAATTATCGTTCAAGTGTCAGCAACTCGGCGACATATTGTATTACGATCTTTTTATAGGCAAATTCATCTCCATCGATTGGAAAAAAAAGCGTGGTTTTTCATCGTTTATGATTTACTCAAAAATGTCGTATCTGTCAATTTTCCTCTTGGCGTGCACATCTTTAACAAGTGCTAAATATGTTAGTGTATGTTACTACACGAGCTGGTCTCAGTACAGACCTGATCCATGAAATATTACCCGGAAAATGTCGATGCCTCCCTGTGCAGCCATGTGATCTACGCGTTTGCACAGATTGTTGACGGGCCCAAACTGGCAACCTTCGACCAGAATGACGAAAAGATGTTTCTAAGATTTGCTGAAGTCAAACGGGTTTAGTATTCGATATCTCTTTATCTAAAACTTTACCGATTAATTGAGCTAGAGTGCAGAATTTTCGCGATGTTACAACACAATAGTTTTCACTAAAATTATTTCATGTATTGTCTTCTACTTTTCATATATTGCCTTATACTTTTTATATTTCTTCCAGAAAAACCCTCATCTTAAACTTTCGCTAGCAGTCGGTGGCTGGGCACACGAAGACGGCCCTGTGAGTAGGTTCTCCAACATGGTTGCAACAGCTCAAACACGAAAGGTTTTCATCGATTCATCAATCGTTTTCCTTCGTGAATACGGGTTTGATGGCTTGGATTTGGACTGGGAGTACCCGGCGGGTCGGAAATTCTCCCCCTGAGGATAAACAACGTTTTACCGCCCTTTGCGACGAGCTCTTGGCCGCGTTTGTAGCCGAGGCTGCAGACTCTGGTAAAGAGCGCTTATTGTTGACAGCCGCAGTGCCTGCCGGATACCCTATCATTGACGCCGGATATGAAGTCGACAAACTTGCAAAAAGCCTTGACTTCATTAACTTGATGGCGTATGACTTACATACTTATTGGGAACGAAAAACTGGACACCACACTGCAATGTATGGTGACGATAAACTTACTGTCAGGTATGACGTCATATTCTCAGAGTATGCATGCCGACGGAATTCAGCTTAATCTCAACAAATCAGAATTCATCACATTAATCACACTGACCTATATATTATAGGTACGCCGTTGAATACTGGATGGAGAAGGGAATGCCTGGTAAAAAAATTGCGCTCGGTATGGCAACCTATGGACGGGCATTCAATCTCGTGGATCCCCAAAACAACGGCTTAAATGCTCCTGCAAATAGCGCTCCGCCAGCAGGCAGATACACGGGTGAGGCGGGACTCCTGTCATACTACGAGATATGTAAAATGCCGCTGACCGTCGTGAAGAAGAACGCCGCTGGCGCACCGTATGGTTATTCTGGCAATACGTGGGTCGGCTACGACACACAGGAAAGTTTAATGCAGGACAAAGTTGGCTTGGTCAAAGAGAAAGGTACGATTCATCTACAGAATAGCTATGTTTAGAGAAGATATTTTGATCTAAAATAGCATAAAAAATCCCATCAAATTTACGTTGGGAATTGAAGTTTGCGAAGTTCTTTTACAATAGAAGCGTTTCGAAAAATATCGAGAAACTCGTTTGCTCAAATTTATCAGTTGGCTTACGCAGCTCATAAAAGTATTAAAATATTTGAAAAACTCCTAACTTCCGGTTTCGAATTGACCAATCATATTGACTAGTCTGTGTTTTTTTTCATTATCCAAAAGGGTTAGAGAGTGGTCAATTCTAACCCTGAAGTTAGGAGTTTTTTGTGGAGTTTTTCAAACATTTGATGAACTTCGTAAGCCCAACTGATAAATTTGAGCAAAATGAATTACTGTAATAGCCCACCATCAAAATGCATCAATATTTCTGCGTTTTTTCCAGGCCTCCTTGGTGCCATGTTCTGGGCTCTGGATTTGGATGATTTTAAAGGTATTGAATGTGGCGAAGGGAAATACCCACTGCTTACAGCTGTCACCCGTGCCTTGGAGGGAGGAGGAGTTAATGCATCAAACCCCAGTACCAGGCCTATGGAACCCACGCAGCCGACCGAACCCACTGAAACGATTGAGCTGATAAACCCACCCGAGCCTGGATGGTGTGTCAGTATTCCTCCGTACGAGTCAGATGATATGGATGATTGGTGCAATACTAATTGTCCCCTAGGGTTCTGCCCTGAAACACACTGCATTTGTAACTATCAAGAATATATATTATATCAATAAAACATGAAATGATTTCAAATCAGGGTATATTATATGTCACTAGTATTTTTGTTTCCTTTCCATGTTCTGAAATTTGAATTATATCGAATAAAGGTTCTGAGACAAATTCAAGCGCGCTGAAATAGAGTGGTTCTAATTGATAATTATCACTTGTCAGCGATAATAATATATCATTTGTTCTTGAACTACGCATTTATGGATACGTTAGATGCATGGTTTATACTTTAGTATGTAATTGTATTTGTTATTAAATGAATATAAACTATGCTTTTAATTAAATATAAAGTAAACATTGATCACGAAATTTGCCCATTCTTACACCAGAGAACATCGCAGCCCGAAAATCTAATCACTGGTTCACAATTGTGCATTGCTGTATCGCTATCAAAGAGAAAACTGTTGAATAACTTTAAAAAGTTCGGTTTTTCTTCCGAATACGCATTCTGCAATCTTTTGACAGCTCATCATACACATCTGACAGCTGTGAAATGGCCATTTTGAAGCGTAACGTATACACAAGGTTATTTATTCAGACGATTCGTTTTTGAGTTGTGTAAGCTTTAAATCTTTTGTGCAAAATATATTTGTGAAGTATCTATAAATCTTTTTTCTCACCAAGTATTTTACAATTTTACCAATTTCCGTGGCGTCACACCAGAGAGGGCGCACCCATTGTTATGAGCAAAGCCGATGCCCAGAACGGATTTTCCTTAGCCGAGAAATTAAAATTCTTTATCTTCCGATTTTCTTTATTCGGTGGTATATTTTCCAGTATTCATGTTCACATATCATAGTAATCTTAACGTACAAAAGAATTTAGTCGGGCGTAAAGGCCCAAACAGGCAGGCAGGCGTGATGGGGCAACGCGACGTGAATTTTCTTGTTCAGATAATGGAATTGTTCAGAAAAAAAGGTTTCATGCATCTACACAATAACTAAGTTAGGAGAAGATATTCTGGTATTACAGTTCAACGGTCGCCCCATGCTTTTCCATGTTTTCATGCAGTAGCTCGCGTCTTATAAATGCGACGAAAATACAACATATAACTCGCCGACGAATTTGCAATTTCATTTGCAAATGGATAGTAATTCAAGTGACGTGTAAAACAATTCCATTCATTGCCTATTTACAACGGCTATGTATGCCTATATCAAACCTTTATTTTCACTCAACTCTCTTCTGCGTGCCGTAATTGTACGGAAAGTTGTTTTTTTCCATTCAGCACAGAAGAAGATTGATGTTTCTGAAAAACATGTCAACAGGTGCGGCTTAACGCATGTTCCAAATATACCTCGGCAGCAGAAGAGAAATATGCGGAATGAACAATTCCGGCAGCACACGAAAGCTATCTGCCGAGCTAAAATTCACTGGTGAACTTTAGCGTAGACAAGTTCCGCCAGTGTCCGCCAACGCTTTGTAAGCTTTTGTTCACACGTATATTCGTACCGAATACTCAACATATTGAATCATTTGGTGCACGAGTGCACATTAGCCGGTTATAACAGACGTGGGGGAAGTGAGCACTCGTAGGTCAAATTATTCAACATGTTGAACATTGGTTTTGGAACAAGCGTTGAGCCGTGTTCAACGAAACATCTCCTGTGCTCTGCTGAATGGTAAAGAAAACTTTATGAAATTGCCATATATTGTTATCTGCTGACAGTGGCATAGCCAGCCTGACGATTTTGTCCCGCTATGTAAATTTCGAGTTATTATAATTATTCATGTCTTTAGAAATCTATTGTTTTTACAGTCAGTGAACACCAACATATTAGCATAGTACTGTATTTCATGAAATCGGTCAGGCCATAAGATGAATATATCAATATATGTACACCCCACCCCTAATCAAGCTTCTAGTGACAGCTGAGATAATCTGATATAAAATGCCGTTTTTTCAACAATATGCGGCAATTTCATAAAGTTTCTTGAGCATTCAGCACAGAAGATATTTCTGCATGGAGCACACATCACCGAGGTGCGGCTTAACGCTGTTTCCGATAGGATCCTAGCAGGCGATCATTATATTTGGCAATTGTATTCCAGCAGCACAATCCTAGACGCAAGTCACGCAACATTCAACTGGAAGTGCAACAAAACATATCTTTTTAATTATTATTCAAAAATGTTGTTTTTTCAACAGACAGTAGCGTAGCCAGCCTGTCGATTTGTCCCACAGTCCAAAATTAACCCAACAAAAACCGCTGCTAACTTATGGTCAAACCTCGGTCTGATCGAGTTTGAACCGACATGAGACCGAGGTCGAACCGCGGTGAGACGGTCCTACATTTTGGTAATAAATTACGTTTTGGTGTTTTGTGTTCTTTGCTTTCTCGACGGAACCAGAAAGGCAACTTTAGGGTCTCTCACGGCTGAGGGTGCTGTCTGAATTGTCGGAACTGTTTGAAACACGCGTAACGCCTCATCTGCTGACTTGTGTTCCAGATGTGTTCCGCTGCGCAACTTGGTGACGGAAACTTTGCCGTGTATTCCTGTAAAAAACAACATTTTTGTATAATTATCAAAATCCTCGTATATGATTGGCTAAAATCATCGCATAAACAAAACAATACTATATAGCTTAGCTGCCTTCCTGATCTCTTACATTAATGCTCAGTTAACAAGAAGAAAAGAGTTGAAATTTTACTCAGGAAATATACAATCTGAGCAGGCTTTAAATCGTTCGTGATTAACAAACATTTCGATATTTTACTTGAGAATTGCAAAGAGAATTGAAGTAAGTACTCATTATATTAAATTTATTTATAAGTGCAAAAATTATTGCATTTGTGACGTGTTCATTTTAAAATGCCTACTTTATGATTTTGGTAATAAAAACTTAGTAAGATGTTTCTTATATCATACTGGGAATTTTTTGGGCATTTTGGCTATAGAGCAAATACGATTTGCAGTTAAAGAATACGACAAATAATCGCAAACACAGTACATGCATATGATGGAACATGTCTTCAATAAGCATTCATACAAGACGGCCCTAAATGCATGCAATGTCTTTTATCAGCTGTGTAATTCATTGCCAACTCTAGGGCGCATGTTTATAAGGAGCGAGTTATCCCGTCTAGGCGAGGTGAAAAGCGCGTCAGATCAAAGTCAAAGGCTTAACCTGATAGTAGTCTTTCATTATATGCAGTTTTTCCTCCCCTAGCCGGGATAACTCGCTCCATTTAAACAGGCCTGCTTCTCATATGTCGCCGACAATCGGCGATGTATTGTCAGCCGTAATTATGATGCAATAAAGTCGAAAATACAAGCCGTATGTTGATATATGATCAATCCCATCATTGTATTATGACCTTTTATACAGGCAAATTGATTTCAATTGATTATACTAGCGCTTGGAGAATAAATATGGTCGAAAAAAGGCGTGGCTTTTCATCGTTTACGATTTACTCCAAAAAGTCGTTGGTCGTAAATTTCCTCTTGGCATGCGCATCCTTAACAAGTGCTAAATATGTTCGTGTATGTTACTACACCAGCTGGTCTCAGTACAGACCTGATCCGATGAAATATTACCCTGAAAACGTCGATGCCTCCCTGTGCAGTCATGTGATCTACGCGTTTGCACAGATTGGAGATGGGCACAAATTGGCAACCTTCGACCAGAATGACGAAAAGATGTTTCTAAGATTTGCTGAAGTCAAACGGGTTGAGTATTCGATATCTCTTTATCTAAAACTTCACCCGATTAATTGAGCTAAAGTGCAGAATTTTGGCGATGTTACGACACAATAGTTTTCACTAAAATTATTTCATGTATTGTCTTCTACTTTTCATATATTGCCTTATACTTTTTATATTTCTTCCAGAAAAACCCTCATCTTAAACTTTCGCTAGCAGTCGGTGGCTGGGCACACGAAGACGGCCCTGTGAGTAGGTTCTCCAACATGGTTGCAACAGCTCAAACACGAAAGGTTTTCATCGATTCCTCAATCGCTTTCCTTCGTGAATACGGGTTTGATGGCTTGGATTTGGACTGGGAGTACCCAGCGGGACGTGAAAATTCTCCCCCTGAGGATAAACAACGTTTTACCGCCCTTTGCGACGAGCTCTTGGCCGCGTTTGTAGCCGAGGCTGCAGACTCTGGTAAAGAGCGCTTATTGTTGACAGCCGCAGTGCCTGCCGGATACCCTATCATTGACGCCGGATATGAAGTTGAGAAACTTGCAAAAAGTCTTGACTTCATTAACTTGATGGCGTATGACTTACATACTTATTGGGAACGAAAAACTGGACACCACACTGCAATGTATGGCGACGACAAACTTACTGTCAGGTATGACGTCATGTTTTGCGATTAATTCTGCCAACGGAGTTAAGCTCCATCACTGCAAATGAATATTCATCGCATTAATCACACTGACCTATATATTTTAGGTACGCTGTTGCGCACTGGATGGAGAAGGGAATGCCAGGTAAAAAAATTGCGCTTGGTATGGCAACCTATGGCCGGGCATTCAATCTCGTGGATCCCCAAAACAACGGATTAAATGCTCCAGCAAATGGCCCCCCACCAGCAGGCAGATACACGGGTGAGGCGGGACTCCTGTCATACTACGAGATTTGTAAAATGCCGCTGACCGTTGTGAAAAAGAACGATGCTGGCGCACCGTATGGTTATTCTGGCAATACGTGGGTCGGCTACGACACACAGGAAAGTTTAATGCAGGACAAAGTTGGCTTGGTCAAAGAGAGAGGTATGATTTATCATCAACACAATAGCTATGTTTAGAGAAGATATTTTGATCTAAAATGAAATTAAAAATCACATCAAATTTACGTTACTAGTGAATTATAGTTACCTAAGTTTTTTAAGTCTGCTTTCCAATTGTGGAGCAATCATTTTTCTCACATGGGAAAGTTGTGAAAGAGCGATAAAAATGTTTCAGTATTTCTGCGTTTCTTCCAGGCCTCATTGGCGCCATGTTTTGGGCCCTCGATTTGGATGATTTTAAAGGTATTGAATGTGGCGAAGGAAAATACCCACTGCTTACAGCTGTGACCCGTGCTTTGGAGGGAGGTGTTAATCCATCTACACCTAGTACCAGACCTACGGAACCCACGCAACCGACCACACCCACTGAACCCATTGAGCCGACAAACCCACCCGAGCCAGGATCGTGTTTCAGTATTCCTCCATACGAGTCTGATGATATGGATGATTGGTGCAATACTAATTGTCCCTTAGGATTCTGCCCTGAAACACACTGCAAGTGTAACTGAAATACATTACTTAAAAAAAAGAACTAAATATTTGAAACCAGAGTATATTATATGTCACTAGTATTCTTGTCTTTTCCCTTCTTTTGAATTAAGTGGTATAGTTTCGGAAAGAAAACGAAGCGAGCTGTTAATCATTACTTGAAAGCTATATATCACTAATTCTTAAACTACACATTCATGGTTACCCTACGGTTGGGTTATACTTTTTTATGGTTTCGTAATACTGATATTTGTTTTAAACTGAATGTAAACTATATTTTAATTGAATATTAACTTGACTTATGCTCAGAAAAGTTCAAAACATGCAAATGTTGGCAATTTTTACATCAGAGATCTCCTTTGCGCCATGTTCTGGTCCCTCGATTTGGATGACTTTAAAGTGATTGAATGTGGCGAAGGTTGAAGGTTGGCGAAGGTTTTTAGTTTAATTGAAATCCAAGCTCCTTGCTGTTTAAAATAATCACGTTACGCGCTAGAGTATAATGACTCTATAATGAAAGTGATGAGGGAATAATTCAAACACAAATATACAACAAAAACTTACAACATAACATTATGTTCTGGAATGTCTAACATAACTTACAATATCAAAAAATATAATATATTGTTTATTGCTATGAACACACAAAGCTTAAGGTGGCTGCCTGAAGTTTGAAATTCTTGAAACCAAAAATATGAACAAAAGCATTGTTAAAGCTAAATTTATCCTGTTAATGTTAATGTTACTATGCCATGTTATGTTCTGCAAAAATATTTTTCAGTTCCACATGTTGGTAAGGTTAATTATTGGTTTGCCATTCCATCCATCACAAGATAAATGAAAGTCTTCATTCATTTTATGAATGTTGTGCTGTCTTGAAAAATCTAAACTTCTCAATCACATCTCTCTAGATAGTGTGCATTCTTTATGTTTTTTATATGTCTAAAAAGACTACAACCATAAGAAAGTTCTTTCTTACAAACATCACATGCATAAGGTTTCTCTCAAATGTGTTTTCTTTGATGTGTAAGCAAATTACCGCTCTGTGAAAATCTTTTCTTACAAACATCACATTCAAAAGGTTTGTCTCCAGTGTGTGTTCTTTGATGTGTAACCAAATTACTGCTCTGTGAAAATCTCTTCTTACAAACATCACATTCATAAGATTTTTCTCCAGTGTGTGTTCTTTGATGACTGACCAAATGACTGCCATGTGAAAATCTCTTCTTACAAACATCACATTCATATGGTTTCTCTCCAGTGTGTGTTCTTTGATGACTAACCAAATTACTATGACATGAAAATCTTTTCCTACAAACATCACATTCATAAGGTTTCTCTCCAGTGTGTGTTCTTTGATGACTAATTAAACTACTACCATAAGAAAACCTATTTTTACAAATCTCGCATTCAAAAGGTTTCTCTCCAGTGTGTGTTCTTTGATGTCTAACCAAATTTCTACCACGTGAAAATTTCTTCCACATCAAAGGGTTTCTCTTCAGTGTGCGTTCTTTTATGACTAATCAAACTACTACCCTGTGAAAATCTCTTCTTACAAATATCACATTCATAAGGTTTCTCTCCAGTGTGTGTTCTTTTATGACTAATCAAACTACTACCCTGTGAAAATCTCTTCTTACAAACATCACATTCAAAAGGTTTCTCTCCAGTGTGTGTGCTTTGATGACTAACCAAACTACTACCATAAGAAAATCTATTTTTACAAATCTCACATTCATAAGGTTTCTCTCCAGTGTGTGTTCTTTGATGTCTAACCAAACACTACCACGTGAAAATCTCTTCTTACAAACATCACATTCATAAGGTTTCTCTCCAGTGTGTGTGCTTTGATGACTTAACCAAAATTAGAAGCCTGTGAAAATCTCTTCTTACAAATATCACATTCATAAGGTTTCTCTCCAGTGTGTGTTCTTTGATGATTCACCAAAATAGCAGCCAGTGAAAATCTATTTTTACAAATCTCACATTCATAAGGTTTCTCTCCAGTGTGTGTTCTTTGATGTCTAACCAAACTACTACCACGTGAAAATCTCTTCTTACAAACATCACATTCATAAGGTTTCTCTCCAGTGTGTGTGCTTTGATGACTAACCAAATTAGAAGCCTGTGAAAATCTCTTCTTACAAATATCACATTCATAAGGTTTCTCTCCAGTGTGTGTTCTTTGATGATTCACCAAAATAGCAGCCAGTGAAAATCTCTTCTTACAAACATCACATTCATAAGGTTTCTCTCCAGTGTGTGTTCTTTGATGACTAATCAAATTACTACCACGTGAAAATTTCTTTTTACAAACATCACATTCATGAAGTTTGCGTGTTCTTTCTCTTCTTGCAGGATTCAAGCTGCTCATTGCCTCAGCCTCACCCCGAACAATCCAAGCGACGTCAAATCCTAACTTCTAAATACTAGATTTTGGACGAGTTATATCCCTCAGAATTTACACAGTGTTAATACGTATGTAGAGATATCTCGGCTTTTGTAAAACGAAAATAACCGAGACAAAAGAATAAGTTTTGACTGTTTTTAGTTTGATTGAAATCCAAGTTCTTGCTGTTTGAAATCTTACGTTGCGCGCTAGAGTATAATGAAAGTGATGACGGAATCCGCTGTTCTTTTTCCAACACTCTGACCTACATTTCACGCTGGACTACCAACTAGATGGGCGTATTTGTTGTAAACCTGGACAAGGTACGGTTTTTAATTTATTTCTTGTGTCAATGCAATGGTATTGTATTTGAGACATGAATAAAAAAATACAGAATAACACATCCAGTAGGCATACATGAGGCTAACAGGAAGTTTGACTGGCTCTCTCGTTAGCTTGCGTAGCCAATCAAACATCAGGCTTTCAGCGTTTGGTCACTTTGGTGGAGCTGATTGCTTTTTAGTCAGAATACTTGTAATTTTATTATTCAAACATAAATATACAACAAAAACTTACAACATAACATTATGTTCTGAAATGTCTAACATAACTTACAATATCAAAAAAATATAATATTGTTTATTGTTATAAACACACAAAGCTTAAGGTGGCTCCCTGAAGTTTCTTGAAATTCTTGAAACCAAAAATATGAACAAAAGCATTGTAAAAGCTAAATTTATCTTGTTAATATTAATGTTACCATACCATGTTATGTTCTGCAAAAATATTTTTCAGTTCTATTTCTGGTAAGGTTAATTATTGGTTTGTCATTTGATCCATCACAAGATAAATGAAAGTCTTCATTCATTTTATGAATGTTGTGCTGTTTCGAAAATCTGAACTTCTCAATGACATCTCTCTAGATAGTGTGCATTCTTTATGTTTTTTGAAATTGCCTAAAAAGTCTATTCCAAAAGACAACCTGTTCCTAGGTTTTTTTTCCTCTCCAGTGTGTGTTTTTAATGTCTAAGCAGACTACTACCATAAGAAATTTCCTTCTTACAAACATAACATTCATAAGGTTTCTCTCATGTGTTTTCTTTTGTTAAGCAAATTACCGCTCTGTGAAAATCTCTTCTTACAAACATCACATTCATAAGGTTTCTCTCCATTGTGAATTCTTTGATGTCTAACCAAATTACTACCAAATTGAAAATTTCTTCTTACAAACATCACATTCGTAAGGTTTCTCTCCAGTGTGAGTTCTTTGATGTTTAACCAAATCACTACCATTTGAAAATCTCTTCTTACAAACATCACATTCATAAGGTTTCTCTCCAGTATGTGTTCTTTGATGACTAACCAAACTACTACCATGTGAAAATCTCTTTTAAAATACACATTCATAAGGTTTCTCCCAGTGTGTGTTCTTTGATGTGTAAGCAAATTAACCCTGTAAAAATCTCTTCTTACAAACATCACACTCATAAGGTTTGTCTCCAGTGTGTGTTTTTTTATGTGTAACCAAAATTACCGCTGTGGGAAAAATCTCTTCTTACAACATCACATTCATAAGGTTTGTCTCCAGTGTGTGTTTTTTATGCGCAACCAAATTACCGCTCCGTGAAAATCTCTTCTTACAAACATGACATTCATAAGGTTTCCCTCCAGTGTGTGCTCTTTGATGTCTAAGAAAATTACCAACCTGTGAAAATCTCTTTTTACAAACATCACATTCATAAGGTTTCTCTCCAGTGTGTGCTCTTTGATGTTTAACCAAACTACTACCATGTGAAAATCTCTTCTTACAAACATCACATTCATAAGGTTTCTCTCCAGTGTGTGCTCTTTCATGACTAACCAAACTACTACCATGTGAAAATCTCGTTTTACAAATATCACATTCATAAGGTTTCTCTCCAGTGTGTGTTCTTTGATGTCTAACCAAATTACCACCATGTGAAAATCTCTTTTTACAAATATCACATTCATAAGGTTTGTCTCCAGTGTGTGTTCTTTGATGACTAACCAAACTACTACCATGTGAAAATCTCTTCTTACAAACATCACATTCATAAGGTTTCTCTCCAGTGTGTGTTCTTTGATGATTAACCAAACTACTACCATGTGAAAATCTCTTCTTACAAACATCACATTCATAAGGTTTCTCTCCAGTGTGTGTTCTTCGATGTATAACCAAATGATTACAATGTGAAAATATCTTCTTACAAACATCACATTCATAAGGTTTCTCCCCAGTGTGTGTTCTTTGATGTATAACCAAATTACTACCACGTGAAAATCCTTTCTCACAAACATCACATTCATGAAGTTTGTGGGTTCTTTCTCTTCTTGCAGGATTCAAGCTGCTCATATTGCCTCAGCCTCACTCTGAACAATCCAAGCGACGTCAAATACTAACTTCTGAATACTAGATTTTCGACGAGTTATGTCCCTCAGTATTTACACAAAGTGTTAACAATGATGTACAGATGTCTTGACTTTTGTCAAACGAAAATAATCGAGACAAGAGAATAAGTTTTGACTGTTTTTTATTAAATAGTTTGATTGAAATCCAAGCTCCTTGTTGTTTGAAACACTGAGCTACAGTATCACGTTGCGCGCTAGAGTATAACGAAAGTGATTACGGAATCCGCTGTTTTTTTAACACTCTGACCTACATTTCACGCTGGACTATCAACTCGATGGGACGTATTTGTTGTAATCCTGGACCATGTACGGTTTTTATTTATTTCTTGTGTCAATGCGTCTGGTATTGTATTTGAGACAGCAATCAAAGAAATACGGAATAACGCATCCGGTAG